TTTAATTTTACTTGAAAAGGCTAAAGGAAGGAATTCGTAGATAGGCCTGACCAGAAACCGAAAAAGGATTATCTTGGACTTCTGACTGAGGCAACGTGTGAAAAGGACATTATCTCACCACTCTGCGGCCAAGAGGAATACGTGCTGTCATCTGACGGACGTCGTCATGACCAGATATCATCAGTAACAAAGGGACTTGCCAATGCACTTAATAAAAAATGGCTGATCGGAATCCTATTTCGTATACCTCTATCGGTTTAGCGCTTTGGTGAATTTTTGGTAAATCAAGGTTTTAGGCTTATGACCCCCACATGATAGAACAAAACTTAACACGGATTCACTATGATATTTAACTGGGATCTTCTTCGCACAATTCAGCTGTCACAACTAAAAGGTTTGTAGAGCCAATTTATGAATATCTGCCTCAAGCCTTTTCTGTCGAACTTGCTAGCTAGTCTGTTGCTCTGTCACAGACATAGCCTTCATATTGGCTTGAAAGCAAGTGGAATGTAAACTAGCAAGTGATGACTTGTAGCGATGTGCAATCGAATTACATCACCCATAAAGCTAAGGCCTTATGGCATTGGAATCCTGATATTTTTTCCCTTTTCTACTTTGAAGTTAACACCCTTGATTCTCGCCAGCATGACTTAAAACAGTTTGGTAAGCTGATTTCCATTTCGACTGAAAGTGTTTGGTGAAGGGATTTGAAAGTCGATCCCGAATGAAGATGATAGCAGATTCCTCCGGACGAGCTATCGATTAGCTATACTGGAACATTCTTGTCGAGGCTGTTCCTGAAGTAATCTTCTTCGATTCACGTGAAAACTTGTTAAGCTTTCGTCCGTTGTATGATTAACGCCATGCGAACAGGGCATCATCCTTACAACCAGATTCAAACTAGAGAGTCAAAGAAACTCCATAGTTTGTAAAAGATAATCCCTCGTGTCACACGTTTTCACTAAGTAAAGAATTTTGTTCGATTTTTGTCAAAGTTATCTGTAAGAGTTATCTGTGACACAATAGTGGCAATCTTTTGGAAGAATCCCCTGCGCAACTCATTAGGCTTCGTAAGCATTTATTCTAAAAATTCACACTATCCCAGGCAGGACTGTAAGCTTAATTAAACTAGCTCCCCTCAATCCATCAGATGAATTCTACTACCCCATGTCGCCTCGGTTGCATTTAGTCTGGACTATATGCAACCTCATATTCCATATATTAATTATGTTTAATATGCATATGAGCCCCATATGAGTCTTACTTGGCCAAAAAGAACTTTTAAGGTACACTACAGACCAAGTTAGATAAAAATATCAATTAAATGAGTTGTATTCGCCCTACTTCATTTAAGGTAATGAAGGATTGGTAGTTGAAACTTTCCACAACGAAATGAGTAGACCATTAAATTTCACATAGCCTTGCATTCCCCAAAGGTGTTCTCATATATGCTGGACTGCAGTTTCGACCTCGCCTAGGTCGTATCAACACCGCCAGCGGGAGTCGAACAAAAACAGTGCAGTGTGTAAGCTCGACGCCTTAACAACTCCGCCACCTTGCCACGAATGCCTTTGGGTCATAGGGCAGATGTGAATTTCATGGTAGGCCAGGCCTTTTGCCATATCACATTCTTTGGTGGGATTATTGATGAAGCAAAGCTATATTTGCTATAACGATCGACTGCATTATTTATTTGTTTTATATAAGTAGGGTTTAGCGGTTATCAGTAAATCAATTATATGAGATGTATTCACTCTATTTCCCACAATGATATGTGTGATAATATCATTGCGGATAAATTAAATTATCAGTCTTTCATCACCTTAAACGAAATAGAGCGACTACATCTCATATAACTTATTTAGTGGCAGCCACGAAACCCTATTTATAAACGAAACATAAAAATACCGATCTTTGTCCCTCTGCAACTTGTGCACCTAAGCTTACTATCGTTGAAATACACCCTAAGCCTAGGCTCAGCGTCACTTGAAGATCTCAACAGGTTTTACTTAGGTTGAATCAAAATTAAACACCCTTATTAATTTTCTAACTCTTGTTGACAAAAAACCTGGGCTACTACGAATTTTAATTACCCTTGCATCTCCACAGTCATCAAAAAGGTTGCGAAGAAATGAGTCAACAGAGTCCCAGTTAGCGTCGATTAGGTTACCAGCCAGGCCCCAAAGGAGACTGAAAATAAATGACATTGCCAACAGAGGATTCCTCTTTTGAGCTTCCATCTTTATATTGAGTCCACCCGGGTGTGTGATGAGGACCTCCAGCAGCTTACACATTGTTTGAATTCGAGCAATCGGGACCTGGTGTTCAGGGAATGAATGCGGAATGAATAAAATATTATGAGGCCTTAATAAATAAGAACAAAATAACATCAATTATTCTCAATGACCGGGAAGTCATTTTGAGCCATTGAAGACTTTTTGGAAGAGAAATTGAATCAAATAAAAATGTAAACGAAGAAGTTATTTTAAATGGGATTAAATTAAAAAATTGGGTGAGCGATCGAATCATGAACAATAAAGATTTTTTTCTAGTTAAATTGGATGGAATAATTATAAACATACTTTTCCTTTTGCACAGGCTTATACACAACATGAGGGGTATTCACCCTATTTCGTTTAAGGTGATAAGGTGACTGGTTGTTGAATTTTCCCACAATTATATGAGTAGACCTTACGTTTCATTTAATTTCGCATAGCTTTGCCTAGCCAAAATTTATACTCATCCAGGCTGAAGTAGGCTGCAATTTCGACCTCGCCTAACTATCATCAACAAACTCAACCGGACTCGAATCCGGGTTGTGGTGGTGCAGCGTATAATCTTGTCCTGTTAATCACTACACCACACTACCATGAGTGCCCTTGGGTCAGAGGGAAGATGAGAATTTCAAGGAATGCCAAGCATTTTCCCATATCACATTCCGTAATGTAATTCCCGACTAAACAAATTTGTATTTGCTATAGCAATCAACTAAATTGCCTATTTTTCGTTTCTAAATAGGCCTTCGAGATTACCAGTAGATCATATATGTTAGGTGTATTTAGACTATCTTATTTAAGGTAATAATGAGATTGGTAATTGAATTTTTCCTACAACTATATGAGTAAACCTTGGATTTTAAAACAGTGATGCCTATGCCCAAGCTTCTTTTTCTCTCTAGCCTTCAGACCCATGATCCAGTTATCCTCTTTCACATCCCGACCTCATTCCCTCTTATGCCCTAGGTCCTACTCTGATAGGCCATAAGATTGACTGGTATGTACCGAAAAACGGTGGATAATTTATTTCAAAGAAAGTTCATGAATAGAGACCAATGACATCTAATCGCCAATAAGAATCCATTGCCAGGAAGAGAATCACGATGGGCGAATGAAAGTACGGGGATGATTGCAACGGCAAGAGTCAAACCTAGAACCAGCATCAAAAAGTAGTCATTGTGGATATATGTGAGATGTATTCACCCTATTTCATTCAAGGTGATGAAGGATTAGTAGTTGAATTTTCCCACAATGATATGAGTAGAGCTGAGGTTTCCAATGAATTTCACATAGGCTTGCTTTCCCAAAAGTTGTTCTCATCCAGGCGGAAGTAGACTGCAGTTTCGACCTCGTATAGGTGTTATCAACACCCCAAGCTAAAACAATCGACTACATTGCTTATTTTTCGTTAATACGTAGAGTTTCGAGGCCACCAGTAAATCAGCTCTTTAAGATGTAATCATCCTATATCATTTAAGGTAATGAAGGACCGGTAGTTGAATTTTTCCACAATGATACAAGTAGAGCTGACGTTTCCATTGAATTTTCATCATTTGATGGAGACCCTCAGAGCTTGAACTTGGACGGACAGGTTATGACAAGAGGCTTCGCAAGTTGACCTACACGCGTACAAGCTTACACCTCTTTATCTCAACCAGAGATGCTATCGAACCTAACCAGTCTCGGTCGGTGTTTTTTCTTTGCTCATTAAGCCTTGATGATCCGAGTTTAACTTTAGGCTTTTTGATCATTCTGATTTAGGACCGTCATTGTGTACAGACGTAAACATAGAGACACATTCAAGTAAAAGAACCATGACCAATATGAAAGATAATCAGCCAAACCATTCTATCTCTACATATGCCCATACATTTCCCTTTTTAGTTATGAGTATATGTAAGAGATAAGATATAACCGGATCGGTTGCAAACGGTTGCAATATAACAGAAATCAGCCATCTTCATCCGGTTAGATCAACTTACAATTCTCTTCTTCATACAATTTTATATGAAATGGAAGTCTCCCCAATAATATTACCTTAGGAGATTTATCGAATCCCAGTTATGTTTCGTATCTAATATAAATAGAGTTTCGAGACTACCAGTAAATCAGTTATATGAGATTTATTCACTCTATTTCGTTTAAGTTGATGAAGGACTGGTAGTTGAATTTTTCCACAATGATATAGGTAGAACTGACGTTTCCAATGAATTGCACATACCTTTGCTTTCCCAAAGCTGTTCTTATCCAGGGTGGAAAATTCATCTACCAGTCCTTCAACACCTTAAACGAAATAAGATAAATGCATCTCATATAAATGAATCACTGATAGTCCCGAAACTGTGACTGTTCGACTCCCGCTGGGGGCGTATCGACCTATGCGAGGTCGAAACTTAAGTCCACCCTGGATAAGAATAATATTTTGGAAACAAGGCTACGTTAAAATCAATGAAAACTTTGGTTCTACTCATATCATTGTGAGAAACTTCTACTACCAGTCCTTTATCACCTTAAACGAAATAGAGTGAATAAATCTCATATAACTGATTTACTGGTAGTCTCGAAACTCTATTTATACTAGATACGAAACATAACTGGGATTCGATAAATCTCCTAAGGTAATATTATTGGGGAGACTTCCATTTCATATGAAATTGTATGAAGAAGAGAATTGTAAGTTGATCTAACCGGATGAAGAAGGCTGATTTCTGTTATATTGCAGCCGTTTGGCTTTAATACGACCTTCAAATTGGCGCAGTCCACAAAACATCCTTCCTGGCCTCAAGGGAAAACGGGCTGAAGTATCGTCCATTATATGATGAACATCATCAGAGCTGGAACCCGATCCTTTAAACGTTTTACTTTAATACTAGTTCAAGAAGAGTGTCCGGCTATATCTTATCTCTTACATATACTCATAACTAAAAAGGGAAATGTATGGGCATATGTAGAGATAGAATGGTTTGGCTGATTATCTTTCATATTGGTCATGGTTCTTTTACTTGAATGTGTCTCTATGTTTACGTCTGTACACAATGACGGTCCTAAATCAGAATGATCAAAAAGCCTAAAGTTAAACTCGGATCATCAAGGCTTAATGAGCAAAGAAAAAACACCGACCGAGACTGGTTAGGTTCGATAGCATCTCTGGTTGAGATAAAGAGGTGTAAGCTTGTACGCGTGTAGGTCAACTTGCGAAGCCTCTTGTCATAACCTGTCCGTCCAAGTTCAAGCTCTGAGGGTCTCCATCAAATGATGAAAACAAGCTTAGCTCGATTTCATCCGAATCTGTGTCAGCATGAACTGCAGCCAAACGGTTGCTAAACAAGTAGAATCAGCCGTTGTCTTCCGGTGTGATCAAACAACTTGTCTCTTCATCAAGCATTTTCATACGAGTTGAAATTCTTCCTAGCATTTTATTTAACGTACTAGAAACCTTAAAGATTTTCTTAAATTTTACAACTTCATGATCCTTTTAGATTTATAGCCAACTTTAAATTTTCTTAACTTTAAATAGATATACCTTTTTCTTTATTTTCTATATCTTACGAGGTCTCTGATTTTCTAACTGTGTTACAAATGATTCGCCACCTGTTTTTCATACATTCTGTTCTTACCTGAGGTATCATTGATGTGCATTTGGTCATCACAAATTGCAGTGCCTGCTCCACATACCTCTCGAATAAGTTCAAGAGATAATCGTGTATTTCCGTTGTCAACTTTTCAGATACGGTGTTTAACCAAGTCTACATAAAAAGTAAAACAATGCGAAAAATGTATTACTATTGTATTTTATATTCGTTTTCACAAAGCTTTAAAAAATAACCATGTACATAAGACTGACGAAGACTGACCCTTTTATTCACAATCACTCTACCGTTTCGGTAGACATGCAATGTGTTTACAAACTGAACGTCAGAATCTTTATCATAACATGAAAAGCTTTCAATCTGGATCACGCTACCGGGAACTTTCTCGCAATTTCTCGGCGTCCTCAGTGAAGGTTCAACAGTCTAGAAGCTGAGGCATAATTTTTTTGTCCAAAATAAGGTACCACCAGCAAACACAAAAACGGCCTAGTATATTATGTATTACCGCATTGAAACCATTCTAGCAGTCTGTCATAGGATGCAAGGTGCTCGAGCTTCTGACAAAAGATAAATCTTTTATGCTTCCTGTGGCTCTACTCATCCTCACCTCTATCTTCACACTCAAATTTACCTTCGCATAGGGCAGCCATCCAAGCTCCTGTGAATCGACATACACCATACCACATCGACTGACTGTGGCTGGTGAGGCGACTGCCAGATCCTGAACTTCGAAAAGCATGTGTACGTATGAAGTCAACTTGATGCGCTCTGAGTTGGCCAAGCATAGCATTTTGTTGTCATCAAGCACGGTGTTCATATTCTCGATCCACAGTGCGTCAACAGGCCCATCACAGATCACCCACTGGTGGTCTTTTGTAGTGTCCTAGGAAGAGAAAAAAGTGCATATTGGTGGATAGGCATTCAAAAATGAAAAAGATTTAACGTGTGGACAATATGGGAAGATTTTGAATGGGTTGAGGAGCAATGGCTTTAGGGTTTGATGGAGAGAGTAGATTAGGCAAGGGAGTATTGACGAAATATGTGAGAAGTAGTATGATTTCCCTACTGCTGTGCCGTTTTCAGATTTTTGTCCCACGATGATTATAATGAACATACAAGTTCTGTGTGATTGCATGATCGAGAATATTTGGGCATAGTCTACCTGACTGAGGCTAATTAAACTGATTCCCTTCTCTAACGCATATGAGAATAGGGATAAAATGGGCGCCTCTATGCATAAGTAGTACAATGTGTATGAATCAACTAGGATAGGGGAGAAGAACAACGATATTTTAAATCATAGATTTGAAGACCAAAATGGTGTAGTCTTGAGTTTGGTCGCAGCCTGATGGAACCTTATATTTAAAGGATGAACGGGTGTGTAATTTCGTAAGTAGAGGGAATGGAAGTGGTTATGCTTTCGCAAGACTGATTGAAAATACACTCGTCATTTAAGACCCAGCAAGTGAAGAAATTACTTTCATCTCAGTAGAAGGGAGTTTTGTCTAATATAAATTCAGAGCAAAAAGGAAAATACTGCATAGTGTTAGGCACCAATTGGTAACATCCGGGACTGATTTATGGGCTCCTATAGAATACCGAATCTGTATAGTCCACTCAACGACGAACTCAGAATCAGAATAGAATGAGATAAATTTACTAAGTTCATGAAAACAATGGGGAATTGTAAAGAGTTAAAAGGAGAGTGACAATATGTGAAGATAGAGTAGAAAAATGGTGTAATCACAGTCTGAATATGGTAACGTGGGTAGATGACAGCAAACAGGTCTGTAAAAAATTTTAAGCGAAAAAATCATATGATGTAGTTTAAACGTCTACAAGAAGTAGTACTTTTAATTTTGGATAAACGAGTTAGGCTTAATATGTCGACTACTTTTAAGAGGAATGAGATCAAGCGATTGAACTGTAAGGTTAAAGACGCTCAAAAACAATGGGCCAAATGATAGTTTGCTAATCAATCACTTTGCCCATCTA